TTTTCTGAACCACCATTTTAAGCCATGTGGGCCTCATGGATGAACCATTAAACCAGCCCTTGGGGTGGAAGGGCTTCAGAGTTTCCATCCACATTTCTTGCTTTTTTCTCTCACTTGTTTTAAAACGTTTAATTCTTACAAATTTGATTTTTAAAAGAATGGGATATTTTGTTATATATTCATTTCCTGTCTCATGGCACTCTAAACTCTTTGGGCCAAGACTTGTCCTCTTTTTACTTGGAAACAATTAGGTCACTCAAGGTTGTCTTTTCTTAATGTAAATTTATGATGTTTATCCAGGCTTAACAAGTAAATTCTGAAGCTATTGGTGCATAATTGTAATTAAAGTTGTACCATTAATTGAAAGTTTTTTGAAACCCATGTCTCTACAACACTCAATACCATCTATCATGTATCCTTAAATGTAAAATAAGCAGTTAAATATGAATTTCACTAATAACAATAAAATTCATATCTTGATGAGTCAATTCCTAATAGACAAAGCTCTGTGGAATACACAGCAAATGAAAGTAAGTAATAATAGAAAATATAAAAGTAAAAAAAAAATGAGAGACAGTTAATTAAACTTAACTACGTGAAGGGCAGTATAGGCCATGTAAAATGCCATAAGCCATGAAGGAGCAGTGTGTTTTGGTGGGGAGAGGAGGACATGGGCTGCTTCTCTGATAAAGATGTTGCATACGTTAGTCAAATTTGTACCATTATGTACATTCTAAAAATGGAAATTTTGTTTTCACATTTCAGTTTGGGATTCTACTAGCATCATTCTCAGTAATAAGACTCATCACAGATCTAGGAATTTGAAAACTAAGGAGAAACATCCATTTGTACCATCATCAATGACCAAAAATCAGTCAGCATCCACAGAATTTGGACAGATGACCTCAAGAGATAAAGAAAAGATTAATAGTGGAGCAGTGTCTCTGTTAGGGGATTATACACTCAATGACATGTGTGAATCACAGCTTCCAGAAAACAGAGAGAGCAAAGAAGGTAAGAGAAAAGCATAGAGATTTCAACCCTAGATCACCTCTGCATGGCTTCACATAGTTTTGACTTTTCAAAAATCATTTTGTGGCAAAATCTTTGTGTTTACTCTTTTTATGCAACCTACAACCAAACAATACCTTTTAGCAAGACATTGGTATTCTTTATTTTCACCAAAGCTATGTATAATGATACAGAATTAGGAGAAAGAGTAATTTTCTTTTAGGCTAGTATTGAAAATATACATGAGAGTGGGTAGCAGGATGGTATTTAGAGTTGAGGGACTATTGGGGAAACGAGGTAGGTAGCTAAAGATTGTGTACTCAGACAAAACATAGTTTCCTAGCTTTATTTTTATAGCCCTGAATTCACAAGTATTAGTTATAACTACATTCAGTGTTACTAAAGGACCACCTTCCAAAATGAAATACTAAAATATTCCATTTATCTTCTATGATTTTGTATAATTTAGAAATTTAGAATTGCCTTTCCCAGGAGTAATGGGAATTATTGGTAATTTACTACATAGTGCTGCCTCAATATGTACACATTGTTTAATGAATAAATAGTTCACAAGGAATGTTGGTTTTAAGGAATATTGTATCATTTAAAACTAATATATAGAAAACCAATTTTAATTCTGCTAGGATACCCAGTCTATTGATTAACCACTTGTAATGTGTTCTCTAGTTTATGCACCAGGTAATTCGGTGCCCTTCATCAGTCATAGGTCCAGGTCTGTACTAATGAATCACAATATTTTTTCTAACCCTATAGTTTTAGCTTCTTTTTCATTTTACCTTTAGAATTAACATTGTAGTTACAAAAGATTTTTAGGTATATCCTAAAGTAGAGACCACAAACTGTCAGCCCAGTTATATATATGTACAACTGACTTGCTTGCCACTGCATTTCCTCACAAGCTTGGCAGATCCAAAAAGCAGGATATTTAAAACAAAACACCTACACAAACTCCTGCCACACTGGAAGACGTGAGATGGAAAAACTACAGAATAGATAGAAGCGACTTTAAACAGTTCATGTAGAAAATGTATCTTCTTAGCTGATACCTTTACAAAGTAATGAGCAGAGTTTTCCAGGGACTTTTATTTTACACTGGGTCCTGATAATTTTATAGCCTAAGTATTTCAGGAAACGTCCCCTCCGTTCAGGCCCATTTCATCTTTATTTTGAATTATTGCCTTATAATATTTATGTCTCCTTCCATTTATTCACTTGTCCCCAGATTCATCCCTCTCCACAGCATTTAGAGTTACCTATCTCAGATATAAATACAGCCATGAACCACTCTAAAATACATTTATGTCCAGGCATCCTAAATTACACATAAGCCTTTCGTAATCTGACTTCTACCTTAATCTCTACCATTAGCCTTTTCTACTGTCCGCCCTCTTCTCCATCATTCTGAATTCTAGGGATGCCAGCCTCACCAAGCCCTGTATTTCAATCAAATAGTTACCCCCATTGTGTGCTTCTCTGCTTGTCTTGCAATGGTCTTGCATGATCTCTGCATTCCTGTCTACCTGTTCGGGTCTGGCTAACCTCACTTGTTTAAGTCTCAGCACAGGCACTGTCTCTGAAAAACCCATTCCTGACTCCTTTTATCCATGGTCTTTTTTAAACCTTTACTTAGCTGGAATTGAATAAATAACTATTGAGTAAAGTAAATAAAGACTATTTATACAAAGATAATTTAAGAGATTGTCCCTTATAGTTCAGAGCAAAGGGGACTAAACACATAGATAAATAATTTTCAGTTCATGTTGTTAAGGCATACAAGAAAAATTTATAATGCACTAAGGTAGTCCCCAAGAAAGAGACACCTATTTGTCTGGGAAAAGGTAGCCCTAATAAAGGAGGACTTTACATGGCAGTCTGAATCTTAAAACAGGAAAAGGAGTTTGTCAAATAGTGGAGTCAAACATTTTGGGTAAAAAGGAAGGGTATACACTAATAAAGGCGTAAAAAGTAACAATAATTTTGGACCCTGAGTTATGTAGTTGAAGCTTAGTATGTTGTCAAAATGGTACAATTCTTAGTAAGAAATAGAGTATATTGTACCTTTATATGTTTTTACTGTATTTAAAATTTTTGTTTTGTTTATTGATGTCAGATGGGTGGATCTCTGAATGAGTCTTTGAGATGTTTGTATGCTTTTAACCCGGGGATTTCTAGTACTCCCCAAATGTTTGTTGAAGTTGTAGATAATTTAGAAGTATTTCCTAAAGAAGTAAGTATTCAGCTAAAGATTAAGCTTAAACTCTCAAATGACAAAATGTTATTTTCTGTTTTTTAAAGATTATAGCTTTTATCTAACCATTATAAATAATTCATTCTAACTAAATATATACATTTGTCAGCAGAACTACTAGATGTAGAAAGGACAGCAAAGGAAGAACAAGAAAAGCTTGATGGAAGTGTATTTAACCACCCACAGGTACCCCTTTGGGTCTGGGTAATATTTTAAGTTAAATTTCTAGTTTAATATTGATTACTATGCTTTAGTATTACAACATAGTTCAAATGAAATTATCTTTTGAACTAGACTTTCAGAGTCAATAGATCATTAAGCAATAAGAAGTCTATAAAATTTTAGTAGTTACAAACTTAAAATGTCTCAAGAAGCAGAAATGAATGAGGAATGTGATAGGGAGGATCTATCTATCTATATATATTCAGGACTTTCTTGTATGTAAAAGTGTGAGGAAGAGGATCAAACAAGGCAAATTAGAGTTGAAAAATAATCTGAGACTCACAAGAAATGAGTTAAAGCTGAAGTTTGGTGATTCTTAGGAAAAAATTAGGAAATTTAATCGTCTAAATATATGCTGATCTAAGGCTCTTATTCTAGGGTAGCTGAATAGGTGAAATTTCAGACTGTCCACTTAACTCTAGTTAGATTTATTATTCTTTTAATCTGTGCCTTCTAAGTTATAATTCAGGGAAAGGTCTTTCTAATTCTGAGATTCTTGAGAATTCTCTCTTGATTTCCTTTTTACATTCATGGACTCACTGTCTTCAGTTAAATTTTTGAACTCTTGGGAAATAATGCTTGTATAAAGTTTGAGGTTTGGATCCAACTTTTTTTCATTTAGATATTCATTTATTACCAACCTCTTCATTGTGTAAACATTCGGGTTTTCAGAGGAAATCATAAGTCTTATTTGAGTGCTAGCTGAAAGTCTGCTTTGTTTTATTTAGATTTCTGATAGTCATGAAAAAGAAGATCTGTTGCATAAACACCGTATGTTGCAGGATGAAATCGCCAGGCTAAGAATGGAAGTAGACACAATAAAACAATCACACCATTCTATAATATCTGCTGCTGTCCATGATCATGAGCAAAGTCAGGCATCAAGAAGAAAACTAGAACTTGCTCTGCAGAGAGAGAGAGAGGAGTGGTTTTGTTTTCGGGACAAAATTAATTTTGACATGTCTAACCTGAAAGAAGAAAATGAGATTCTTTCTCAGCAGCTTTCTAAAGCTGAAGGTAAATTCAGTAGTCTGGAAACTGAGCTATGTCACACAAGAGATACCCTCAGAGAAAACACTTTGGTTTTAGAACATGTGCAAAGAGACCTAAGCCACACACAGTGCCAAAAGAAGGAAATTGAACACAGGTATCAAAAGAAACAAGAAAAACTGAATAAATACATCGCAAAGCAGGAATCCTTAGAAGAGAGATTATCTAAACTACAAACTGAAAATGAGTTGCTCCGACAGCAACTGAGTGAAGCTCAGAACAAAGCTGAAAATAAAGAAAAGACACTCATTAACATCCAAAACAGGTTTATGGAAATTACAAAAAAACTTCAAACTGGAAATGAAAAAAGGCTTACGCTAGAAGAAAGAAATGAATTAATCAACTATTGCAATCATCTCAAAGAAAGATTGAATCAATGTGAAAGTGAGAAAGGAGAAAGAGAAGTAAGTATCCAGGAAAGTAAATATTTTTCAAACGTCCTGAAAGAAAATTCAAAGTAATATTTGATTATGGCTAAATGTTGAGTCTAGTGAATACAAAAATATGGAGACTAAATACGTAGACTGTATGTAAATCTGTTTAAAAGCATGCTTTGTATCCAACACAAAAATTAGACCTGGCAGGTGTTTTACTTTGAAGAAAGACACTTGTGTCTACTATGAAATTTTAACAGGCTAAGTTATAAATTGTTACTGATAGTATTAATTTAGTCTTATACTGCTAAAATAATAATTTTAATACCATGATGAAGCAAATAAATGGAAATGCTCATACCTAATATGAACCTCTAAATACAATTAAGTGGATCACCTTGACAGTTAATTCCAGAATTCCCAGATGAAATGAAGGGCAGATGCTGTATGTCATAGTCCTTTTCCTTCAGTAGCTTTTTATACATTTTTAGTTTGTGTAATTTTATTTTGATTCATGTCAATTTGAATTAAATTTGGAAATATTTTAGTCTCAGATCATGTATTCTTATGACCTCCAGCTGTTTTAAAGGCATCTACTTTCCAGTGTATCATAATTTGGGACAAATGTGCTGAGCTATAACAAAACCACATTTGATTGAATCTTCCCATTGCTGTTTATAGTTTACTTCAAACATGTTTACAAATAGTATGCTCACAATTCTTGTTTCAAGGAGAAATGTAGTTGAGAGATTCTAAGACCTAGGTTTGTACATAGCCCAGTACAAAAAGAACTGTAATAGTCTTAATTGGAGCTCTTTTTCAGACTAATGCACAGTGGCAGGATTCATGTACACCAGGAATGGGGTGAGTTGTAGGAGCCAAGGTCAAGGGGGAAGGGAGAGGCCTGGTCACCTAGGGCCGGAGTCCCTTCGGTATAACTTCACATTTATTCTCGATGGGGATCTGTTGGAAGGACACTATATAGAATCACCATATAGAATTTACCACCCCTAGTCCCACTTACATGCCCATTTCTTTTTGAGACTTCACTAGGTTGTAAAGCTGCAAATTCTCAGGGGGAGTGGATAGTAGGGCTGAATTCCTCGTCTTACGTGCATAATACTGATTAATAGGCCTGAGGATCATACCGAATCCAATAAACAGGAATGTGTACACATGAGGAAAAGGTGAATTGATGAATGCAGTGATATTTCTCAAAACACACATGTTAGAGTGATATGTTACTAAAATAATTTAATAGTAAAGTGATTTACAAAATGAGTAATTTTAGGTAGGTGTGAGACAACTCCAATGAGAACAGGCTGACACTGTAATGCAACAAACTATGTCAGAGGCTTCACTAGAGGTTACATCACATTACCATATTAATGTACAAGATAAGACACAGGACTTAAAGGAGTTAAATCAAGTCACAAGTGAAGTATGTATGAAATTTAACATATCAACAGTTAATCTATAGTTTATTAAGTAGTACACTGTTTTAGAATATGAATTTCTAAGGACAGCTTTCTATTTTCATTGTAATTTATAACAATTACCTTTACAATGTACTTATTTCTTAAACTCTGACCCTTGTTCTGTCATTTATATTATACATTTTTTCTTATATGTAATTTTTATATATAATTCTTATATATAAATTTTAAGGAAAATTGATCCTTAAGAAAGCTGAGAATTATATATCATTCCTCACATCAGTTGAGACTTTGTTTTCTTAGTACTAAACATTGTTTTTTATAGATCTCTCTTTTGCCATGATGAGGCAAGCCAGATGAAATCAGAGGATAATGTTTAATGGAATGTTTCAGAAAATTGTCATTTTTCTCATGTTTAATGTTGTGAATGGATATAGAATCTGTGTTCATTTATTTTGTGGATTTCAAGGTAATTTGTACAAAAGGACATTGTATAAACCAGTTGAAATTAGATACTTCCCTCGTTTCCTTTCCCCTTTGGATATACTGGAAAAATGTAGAAAGATTCAGATTATGTGTAGTATGTATCCCAAAACAGAGAATTGAGAAAATTATCTACTTCCAGCCACTGGGCTTTTTAAGCCTTATTGAGATATAATTCATGTACTGTACAATTCCTGGGTTTAAAATGTCCAATTCAGTATCTTTGAGTATGTTCACAGACATATAACTATCTCTGCACTCAAGTAGAAATTTTCATCATCCCAAAGAGAAACTCTGTATCCCTTAGCCATCACCCCCAGTTCCCCTCTTCCCCAGTCCCGGGCAACAACCAGTCTACATTCTATCCTCAAGATTTGCCTATTCTGGATATTTCGTATAAGTGGAACCACAATATGTGGTCCTTTGTGACTAGCTTCTCACTGAAAGTGTTCAAGGTTCATCATGTTACAGCACATATCAGTACTTCATCTATTCTTACTGTCAACACTGCTCCACAGTGTGGCATAACCACTTACTCATTCATAAGTTGATGGACCTTTGGGTTGTGTCCACTTGTTGGCTGTTAATAATGATGGTATGAGCATTCATTTACAAGTTACTGGGTGGATGTAGGTTTTTATTTCCCTGCCACGTGATTTTATCCTGAGTTAACTGGGGTGATCTCACCATCTCTTGGCCTTTGCTCATGTGTCCTTCCTGTCTCCTCAGTTTCTGATCCTCTTGCCTAATCCTGCATTACTCAGACCTGCTCACACCTCATTCTCCTGAAGCTCTAACTGCCTTACTAGCCTACTCTCTTCAGCATTTATCGTCTGGTCTGTGCAGAACAGTTTACATTTAGCCCTTATTTTACATTTCTTCTAATGATATGTAATCTTGTCAGAATCCAAGTATAAGCTTGTCTAGGGGTAAATGTTATTTGATATGCATGGTATCTACCCTTGTATAAATTAAAATATTTTAGCTGTTGTTTATTTTATACCCTACCTATTAATTTCTCCTTCCTTGGAAGCACTAATCTAATAAAATTTTTATTCGAAATGTATTTTAAGCAATTAAATATAAACTTGAAAGCACTTAACCTAATAGAGGAGAATTATTTAATCAAATGCTCTTTTCCTCCCCCCTCACTATGAAAAAACTCTAAGTTTGCCTTCCTTCATTATGCAGCCAGAACTGGAATTTACAGGTGTATAGCACTTAACCAGTTGTAAACCTCTGGGTCAGCTTTTCTGAGGTAACACCGTACTAGCTAACCTGTGACGGTATGTAGTGGTTTGGGAACTGTGATTTATCAGTAGAGCCTTTCATTTACGTTTTCCTTTCTCTTGGGTATAGACTTCTGAATGGTATATACTTACATATGGTAACTGTTTCACCTTTTGGAGAGTTGCCAGTCTGTTTTCCAAAGTGGCTACACCATTTTAAATTGTCATAGGTGGTGCTTGAGGGTTCCGATGTTTTTCCACATTCTTGCCAACATCCGTCATTATCTGTCTTTTTTATTATAGCCATCCTAGTGGATGTGAAATGGCATCCCATTGTGTTTTTGATTGGCATTTTTCTGATAATGATGTTGAGTGTTTTTCATATGCTTATTATCCGTATATCTTCTTTGAAGGACTGTTCAATTCCTTCGCCCATTTTGATATTGGATTGTCTTTTTGTAAGTGAATTGTAAGCGTTATTCCTATATTGTAGATAGAAATCCCTCATCAGATAAAAGGTTTTCAAGTATCTTCTCCTATTCCATGGCTTGCCTCTTCACTGTCTGGATGAAGTCCAGTTAATCAGCTTTTCTCCCTTGGTGTCGTATCTGAGAAACTGTTGCCAAATCTAGTCATGAAGATATACGTCTTTGTTTTTTCCTATGAGTTTTATAATTTGAGCTCTTACATGTTCAGTTAAATTTGTATATATGCTATAAGGCAGAGGCCTGATTTTATTCTTCTGTTTGTGGATATTCAGTGGTCCCAGTATCACATGTTAAAAAAATTCTTCTTGTCCCATTTAACTGTTTGGCATCTTTGTTGACTGTCAGTTCACCACAGATATGTTTATTTTGTATTCTCAATTCTAGTACAGTTCTCTGTATGTCCATCCTTATGCCAGTACCAAACCAAATTTTATGAGGACTCTTTCCCAGTCATCTTGCATATTACCACTTGCTTCTCTCAACTCACAATGAGACTTTTTGCTTCTTAGAGAGCCTTTGTCTAAGTAAGTTTTCTTATTATCCCCTTTTCCCACCACTTTTCTGTTTACCTGGTTTACCTTAACAAATTCCCCAGTTCAGTAGCTTAAACAACATTTATCCTATTCACAAGCCCCGTCAGGAAATGTGTGGCCAGGACAGCCTGTCTCTGTTCCCTTCAGTTTCAACTAGGACGGCTGGAAGGCTGAGGCTGGAGTCATCTGGAGGCTAGTTCACTCAATGTCTGGTTGTTGGCGCTGGGCATCGGCTGGGACTATAGTTGGGCCTGGCAGCCAGAACGTGTGGCCTCCCCGGGTTACCAGCCTTGGAATTCACACAGCCTCACCTTCCCCATATTCTGTTCACTGGGAGCAAGTCAGCAAGGTTGGCCCACACCCTGCCTTTTTTTAAAGGAATGAATGAATGTTTTAGAAGTATGGGTACACTTAAAAAGGACAATTTTAAATTATCCTCCCACATGAAAAATACACTGCAATCACTATGTTATATACTTGAAACCAGTGTAATATGTTATGTCAGCTACACTTACAGTAGGAAAAGGACAGAGAACAAGAATATATATCCATGTAGCCAAAACACTGGTCAAGATATATAAAACATTTCAATTAAAAAAAAAGGAAAAGAGAATAAGAAAACCCCACTCAGCCGTACCCTGTACCTACCTGCCAAGCCTCAGTGATGGTGGCATCCGGCTCAGGCTTGAGTCTGAGATCTGGGACAGGGGCCTGGGCTGTGGTTTCTGGAGTTTAACCCTTGGGGTACAGTTCCCCTCAACATGAAGTTTGAGAGGTGAAGAGCCAAGCTGCCTACCACCCCCCTAGAGCTGACATTCTGCAGACCTGCTCAGGACTCTCCCATTCAGAATGGAAAACTGGGGACACATGGGTCCAGAGCAATTCAGAAGTGCAGCCTGCTGCAGGCTGCTAGTTATTTGAGGAAGACTTACTCCTCATGGGAATGCCTCTCCGTGGCCCTTTGCTGTTCCTCTGAGCTCTCTGTTCTGTCTGGTTCATGGGAAATTGCCTGTGTTTGCATCTGTTCTCTCAGGAATTTGAGGCACCACTGTAAATCTTTCTGAGGTCCTAACAAAGGGTTTTAGTCTTGGCATCAGCCTTAGAACCTGTTTTCCTGTCAGCACCCTGGATTTGATCTTAGCTCAGAAGCGTTTTCTTTTAGAATTACTTGGCAATTAGACATGTGGAGAGGCTAAGATTGGGAACCATATATTTGACCCTAGTAAGGCCTAGTTCCTTTATGTGTAATCATTTTCTTTAGCTTATCTTGCTCATTGATTTTACTTTCAGCTGCTTTGTAGCAAGAGCCCCACTTCCTCCAAGTTCCAGTGTCATTTTCTTTCCTTGTTGTCTTGCCAATGGGCTTCAGCCCTGTATGAGTTCACTATGGATTAAATGAGACTAAAAAATGACAATGGAACGTTCTTGGGGTTTATCCCCATGGTGGCAGGTCAATCACTAGAATCTCGCCCACTCAGAGTGAGTCTGCATGCAGCAAGCCGGTATCTGCCTCTGGGCCTCTCTGTCCCCGCAGCCATCTCACTCTGTCCTTGGCACTGCCACCACCATTTGTGAACAAAATAAATGCTGTTTTGAGACACTAGGTTTTGGGGTGGTTTATCATGCAGCAATAAATCACTGGCAGAGATACTGATATTAAAAATGGGGTGCTGCCATTAAAAAAAAAACCTAAAACAATAAGGAGTGCTTTTGAAACAGGTGATAGGTGGAACCTGAAAGGAGGTAGTGAAGAGTCAGAATGAAAATCAGCAGGGCTTCCAGGAGACTGAGTGGAAGCTTGATGGCCCCTGAAGAGGCTGAAATGAAAGCAAGGGCTTCTAGGCAAGTGTGGATAAAGTGAAGGTACCTACAGCCAGGATTCTCATCTGTCCTGGTCGGCTAGCTCACTACATTTGTGGAAAATACTTTGCTATTGACTCTATATAAAGAGCTCTGCCCAGTGCTCTGGGCGACATGGTAGCATGACCACATGGCTGATGCATGGCTGCAAGGCTGCAGGAGAGCAAACACAAGACGGGAGTGGTGGCACAGCATTTATTTTGTTCACAAATGGACAGTTTAGGCAAGGCTCAGTGAGGTCAGCTTCTTCACTTGGCATCAGCTGGGATGACGCACCACTGGGGTCTAGAATCACCTAAAGGCTCTTCGTGCACGTTTGGCAGTCTTAGCTGACACATGCAGGATTCACTAGTAGGCACCCTGGGGTGCTTCACAACAAGCGGGCCAGGTTTCTAGAGTGAGCCTCCCTAGAAAGAGAATCAGATGGAAACTGTATTACATTTTCTAACCAAGCCTTAGGGGTCACGAAGCAGTTCTAGCATTTTATCTTCACTAGAAACCAGTTACTGAGGCCACACATATTGAAGGGGAGGAAATTTCATGGGAAATGTGTCAAAGAATTTGTAAAACCACCACATCCACTCACCCTGTCTTACCAAATAATCAGTATATCTAAAGGAAAGTTGTTCTTCCTAGCTCAGTATCACTGAAATTCCAGTAGGTTTTCTTTTGCTGCTTCTTTCTTCATTTATTACATTTTCTTATTTGGTGGAAAGTAAGAAAGGATTACAGACATTACTGTGGAATTGTGGCATTTTTCGAAAAAACTATGCATCATCTCACTAAAATTTCATACTGGGATGTGTGAGTTCTCAACCCTGACAATCAATCTCCTTGGAATATGATTTAAATTAGCATAAAGCATTTGTAGTTGAGAGATAGGCTTATGTCATTAGAATCCATATTTCTGGATCATTAATTAGTCTTATTTCCAGCCTTATTTTGGGAGGCATTTATTGATGTAATCATTTAATGGAGGAAAGACATGGCACCATAATAGAAAAACAGAAAAGTCTAAAACCAAGTGCAGATGTTGTATGGCAAAAATGATGACGATAAAGGATGTATTGTTGTGACTCCTGGTGATTTTACCTTTGTTCTTGGTAATCTGAGTAATTTCAAGGTTCACTCTTCTAAGACTCTACTGTGGTATGTTGTGGGGAAAATTGAACTGCCTAGAGCTAGACTCCTCACCTGAACCTAAACTACTTGATGATGTAACTGGCCTACTGCTAGGCTACCACTCCCACACCCACAGGCAATAAGCTATTGCCTGAGTCACTATATAAAGAGCTCTGCCCAATGCTGTGTGTGGAGGCAGAGAGGGAGGAGGATTACAGACCTGCAGACTGTTGGATGCAGATGTAATTCTATTGCTTGACCTATGCCAGGAGAACAAGCCAGGTAATAACCACTTGTACCCCAAGAATGTCCCATTGTCATTCCTCAGGCTCACTGAGTCCATAGTAAACTTGCCCGGGGCTGAAACCCATTGGCAAGACATATGGGTAACATTTTACTGTAACTAAATTTATTTTAAAATTTGATAGCAGCTTTGACTTGGTCTATTCTCAGTCTATCTTCTTCTTACCAAACTCTATTCTTTTATGCATGTAGGTTGGTAATCTCACTACAGCACTGGAAATTTCATCTTCAGAATGCCTACCTGCAGTTACAAGAAATCAAGTTGAACAGATGCTGTTGTCTATGACATCACTCCAAAAGAAATGTGAAAAGCTAGAAAAGACGACAAAGAAACTGGAACAGGAAATAGTAAACCTCAAAACTCATATGGTAAATGAATTTAGCAGAACACTGCCAAGTAGAACAGTGCAGATGGTTCGCAGAAGAAAGAGCAAGACAGGAAATAGAGAAACTAAAAGAAGTCAGTCTATCTTTATGGGTTAATTTATTAATCTGTAATGTGCCTTACTTCATTGCACTGCAGATTACATTTTGGAAATAGACATTTTGTGTGTTCCCTCTACTTACAGCACTTGGTTTTACAGATTTCTGGAAGGATGGTAGCATGTGTTGCTCCCTTTAAATATTTCAGTTTCCATAATAATTATCAAAAAGTTGATCTTTCAGAATGATTCTCACTAGATAATCATTTTATTTTTATGACTGATTATACCAAACTTGTGATTTAAAAATTATACCGTACTTTTGGATAATGTTGTTTAGTTTAAAATATTTTAAATAGATTGTTATTCTTTGAATTGTCAGATTATGACTACTAAAATAAAGATTCAACTTTATTTTTATAGTGCAAATTTAATTCAGTTGAGGTTCTGATAAATATATTAAAGTTCAGGTCTTTTTTTTTTTCCCATTTAAAGTTGCTCTCTGAATCATTGTCTCAAAACTAAAGAAAACAAATATACTGTAATTATTCAGATATTTTAAAAATTTATTCTTTTAATTTGCTTTAGGTACAAGTGTCATCACAAGAGAAGGTAGAGCAGTTGAGAGCTAATGATAATGCTTCCCTTAAAAGGGAAATGGAACTCAGAATTCAAGAGCTGGAATCTGAACTCTCCACAAAAACTCACAAAGAAGATTTGATGAAAACTAAATTGGAAAAATATCAACAATTGTACCTAGAAGAATTAAAATTTAGCAAGTCAATATTGGCAAATCGAGTAAATGAGTAAGTCAGCACAGAATCATAGAAAATAAGTTAAGCTCATTAGTTTGCCTCTAAAGCGTTATTTTTATTGAGCCAGGTTGATAAGATTAGTAGGAAGTGAAAGCTAACTAGATAGTACATTCTGGAAAATGCTGTTAGTAAATGAACTTTCCTTTAAAATGATGGTCCAGCACAGTTTGTATCTCTCTTTCTTGGTTTTACATGACTTTATTTTTTCCTCTTAATATTTTCATAGTTAACCTGATCTACTAGTCTTTAAGTTCAGTGCTTTTGAAGCTTTGTAATTTAGACAGTGATAATATTATAAAATTGCTTCCTAAAGAATTTCCCTAAATACAAATATTAATGAGTTTAACTGTTTTTTGGAAGATTACATCTTAAACCCAAAGGGCCAAGAACTACTACCCAGCTGTCTTGCCTGAGGGTTTTAGGCCCAGGCAAGTTGACTATGGGTTTACTGAGACCAAGAAATGACAATGGAACATTCTTGAGGTAAAAGGTTTTATACCTAGCTTTATTCTCCCAGCTAGAGGTTGAGCACTAGAATCATGTCTGCATCCAACAGTCTGCAGGTCCATAATCCTCCTCCACTCTCTGGGCAGAGGTCTTTTAAATAGTGGCTCAGTCAGTAATAGCTTATTGCCACAGGTGTGGAAGCAGTAGCCCAGCAGTTGGCGAATACATCATCAAGTAGTTAAGGTTCAGATGAGGATTCTGGCTATGTGAACTTCAATTTTTCTCACACCCTTCCTCTCCCAGAGATTGTTGCTCTAAATTATTCCTCAGTGCCAAATTCGTAATTTCTCTGAGATAATGAGTGAGACATAAAAGGGTGATGAAAGCAAATCTTTGCAATGTCTTTGATGGATTACTTTATCTTTTATCTCTAAACTGGTTTACTCAGTAGGTCTAAGTGGCTTCCTCAAGAATCTTATAAGTATAGCCATTTCAGAAGGCAGCAAGTTTTACCTGTAAGCCATCTACATCACTGACAGCCATTTCTCTCCCTTTCCTACTTTGAATTACTTGTTAGGAATTGCCCTAGAAAAATATGTACTTCTATAGAATAAGCTTAAACCTGCAATCGTTTACAGTAGGTCTTCAGCACATTTTCAGTTCTGAAACACTGTCTCATAAGAAATTCTATTTACTGTTGTGGTTAACTTTTTATTAATGCAAGTCATTTATGTAACACTTCGAGAAAAATAAAAAATACACATTTTTTATTGCAGTCTCCACAGGACTACTGAGATACCAGTAGAGATCAATACCAGATGTTTTGTAGAGAAACAGCAGAACGGATCTCCAATCAGCAGTCTGACTATGAGGCCAGTGCTGGAGCCACCTAGCGTTGGAATCCTTAAGGGTTCAGTGATCAGCAGACATCATAGTCCAAGAGAAAATTTAGTGATTCCTACTTGCAGCCAACAGATTTCAAGTGACAGAATGGCGACTTACTTGTTGAAGGTTAGTTATGTTCTCTTTTTTTTCCCTTGGGTTTTAAATTTCTTATGTAATTGTTGTTTTTAATTTGGTGAAATTCTGAGTTGTTTAATTGATTAATGCACACTACCTAAAGGTCCTAATTATTTGTGCTTCTAAGAAAGGAGACAAATTTTCTAAAGTCCTTGGATCTCTCCTTTTCAAGAGATTCCTAATGTTAACTATTCAATAAATGAAACTAATCTGGCACATTTTAAATTTTGTGAAAATCTGCATCTTGAAAAAATGCATCAAAACTGCATTAAATTTGATTTTAGGAATTATTGCCAATTACAAGAGGTATACTTTGAGATGCTTTGGCTTACTTTCTAATTGATTTCAGGTGTGGTGAATGATCCTTTTAATGTATTGTTGAATTGTTTGCTAACAATTCGGTAAGGAATTTTGCATATGTGCTCCTCAGGAATATTGGTCTCTAATTTTCTTTAATTTTGGCAGTGTCTTTGTTTACAGGGTATCAGGGTAGTCTAGGCCTGATAGAATGAGTTTGGGAGCAGTCCTTTCTCTTCCAAGTTCTTGGAAATTTTGATGACAGGTATTAAGTCTTATTTAAATGTTTGGTAGAATGCACTAGTGAAGACTTTTGTTTATTGGGAGTTTTTTTTTTATATTAAAACTATTCAATTTCATTACTGGTAAGGAGTCTGATCAGATATTCTATTTCCTCCTGATTCAGTCTTGAAAGGTTGTGTTTCTAAGGGTTTATCCTTTTCTTCTAGATTGTCCAATTAATTGGCATATAATTTTTATAGTAGTCTCTTATAATCCTTTGTATTTTTCTGGTGTTACTTGTAACTTCTCTTTCATTTTTGATTTTATGTTTTGGGGGCCTCTTTTTTTCCTAGTAAGTCTGGCTAAGGGTTTACCAATTTTATCTTTTCAAAGAATCAGCTCTCAGTTTCATTGATCTTTTCTATTGTCTTAAGTCTTTATCCTTCCTTCTACTAGTTTTGGGCTTTGTTTTCTCTGTTGTTTTCTAGTTCACTTAGGAGTAAGGTAAGATTGTTTATTTGCAGTTTTTCTTCTTTCTTGAGGTAGGCCTCTGTTGCTATAAACTTTTAACTGCTTTTGCTGTGTCCCAAAGATTTTGGAATGTTGAGTTTCCATTTTCATTTGTCCCAAGGTATTTTTTGATTTCCTCTTTGATTTCTTTGTTCACCTATTGGTTGTTTAGTAACATGTTTAACTTACATGCTTGCTTTTTACAGGTTTTTTTCTTGTAGTTGATTTCTAATTTAATGCCATTATAGTTACAAAAGATGCTTGACAGACTTCAGTCTTTTTCAGTTTATTGAGACCTGTCTTTTTGCCTAACATC